AGATAGATAGATAGATAGATAGATAGATAGATAGATAGATAGATAGATAGATAGATATAGATATACATTTAAGGAGAGTCCAAAGCCTTTGGGCATGGACAAGAATTCAATCGATCAATTGATCAACAAACATTTATTAAGTGTTTACTATTTGGCAGACACAGAGCTATTGTGTTGGGGGATACAAATATGAAAGTGAGAGAGTCCCTGATCTCAGGGATATTACATTTGAATAATCTTCTCAGTTAAGGAAATATCAGTATAGACATGTGTATATACATGTGTGTGTTATGCATATGTATATATATACATGTACACACATATAAATACACACGTATATTTAGATATAATACATTTACACACACAGTTTAAAATCACAGAACGCTATGATTGAGGACATAGACAACTAGGAGAAACCAATAAAGACCTCTTGAGGGAGTGACATTTGAGCTGGGTTCAATGGGGACTAGAGGTTTCAAGAAAGAAGGAAAAGGAGGGAGAGCATTCATTCTGTCCATGACCTGTCATGTAAACTGGGGTCTGGGGAGCCTTAGGGAATGAGACCCTTACTCAGGAGAGTGAAGTGAAGGTCCAGTGGGCTTCCCCTAACCAGCCTTGCCCCAACTTAATCCATTTAATATATTGAAGATAGTCCATTTAAGAGGACTTAATCTATCTATACAAGCACAGCTAACAGTGATATCCTAATGAAACCATTTGTTCTCATTCATTACCAGGTTACTTCAGTAGCTTAGAGATAAAATAGTACTTTTTAATGCCCTCTTCCTCGCGGTGGACAGAAAACACTTAAGGAACAAGTGTTCAGGGAGGCATTCACCAGCCAAACCTAGATGTGGCTATCTTCATAGACAGCTTCTCAAAGTGAGGGAAACTGTGAGTTCCTGGAACTCACTGGAAGCCTTCAAGTGGGAGCTGGACGGCCATTTACAGAATCATAACTAGGGGAGACAGAGATTCAAAAGTGAGACAGTCTTTGTCCTGGAAGAATTTACATTCTAATGTGGAAAAAAAGCTCAAATAGTTGGGCAGTAGTCAAGGGAAGGAAGTTTTGGTTCAGCTTGTTACAGGAATTGTGAATGGGAACTATAGGGCAGTAGATTATCACACCCTTTCCAGTAGCAATGGGGGTTTTTATTGGATTATCGTTCATAGAGCAAAAGGTCCAGCAGTGGGAATGGGGGGTGGGAGGTGGAACGTGCACCACAGCTGGTTAGATGAATAGATGTCCATGGTGGGTAGGCCCGGGATTTGGGGTGACAGCTGGATGGGATATGAAGCACTGATTGGGGCTGACTAGATACAGTGGGCGGATGTGAGTTGTCACACACTCACTCACCCACCCAGCCATCAGGACAGCACAGCCCCAGGGTGGAGTCTGAAAGATGAGCTTCTGCACATCTTCCTGCCCTTTCAACCTTTTCTCATCCTAGGCCTCTCCTGGGGTTCTCTAATCTCTTCTCCACCCCTCTCCACACACGCTATGCTTTCCTGCCTCTGGGTCTCTGGCTCACATTTATCTGCACTAAGAATCCCTTCCCCCCTCTTCTTGTTGAATCCTGTGAACCCTGCAGAGTCCAACTCAAATCCATCTTCTCTGGAAAGCCAGGACGTGAACCCATGTCTTCCTGGTTATGAGGCTGGCTCTCTATCTATTATTCCACTCTTCCTTTTAGCCGCTTAATCAATACTTGTTAAACTGAATAAAATAATACGTATTCAAATATTTGTTGGATGAATGAATCCAACTACCTGTCCTGAGGTGTGCCTTATGAAATTTAAGCACTTTATCTGTTACTGAAAAGCAATAACTATTTAACCAACGAGACTGATTTAAGAATAATAATAATGATAGCTAACACTGATAGACTTTAAGGTTTGCAAAGTGCTTCACATATATACTGTCTCATTTGGTCCTTCACAATAACCTTATGAAGTAGGTGCTATTATCATCCCCATTTTACAGATGAGGAAACTGAGGTTGAGAGAGGTCACACAGCTAGAATGTGTGTGAGAAAGGATTGTACATCTAAATTCAGTGCCCCCTTCTCCATTACCCCACTGATCTATTGGTTTGAACAAAGAGAGGTTATGACTGCATCCTGGAGGTGGCTGTGAGTTTTTGAAAGCAGGGCAGGTAAATACTAGTAGTTTCTATGCCAAGCTGAAAAGGTTTTAAAACAGCCTCAGAGAAAAATTATGTCTGCTATCCAAGGACCAGCCTAGGTTAGTGCAAATAAGGACTTGAAACAATGAAGTGTTTAGTTAGATAAAGAAAATAAATAACTTAAATAACTTAAAGTTAAATTATCAAATACATTATTAAATGGATTGTCAAATAAATATTAAATAAACCGATTAAATAAGATAAACACAATTGCAAAATGGCCCTTGGGTCTGTGTAGGCCCCTCTTCTACCGCTGTAAGAGTGGTGGAATAGCAGAAAAGAGAACCGAGGGTGTTAAGAATCACAGTGCTAATCATCTAAATTCATTCACTTAATTGTTGGTATTTGAAAATGTGATCTTTGTCTGTAGATCAACAAATGGGCCATAATACTGGAGCAACTTATCCATGTTGACATCTTCTCAATTAATGAAACCAGAGACCTTAACAACAACAACAGCAACAACCACCACCACCACAACAACAAAAATACTAAATGCAAAGCCAGAACTAAGGCAGGGCACGTGGAGCTTTTCTTAGCAAAGGAAATTTAGAGGGGTGCCATTTTCTCTCCCAATGGGTGGTCATGGATAATTTAGCTGCTGGCACCAGATGTCCAAACAAC